CCGCCCCCCCGCTCTGTCTTGGTACTATCCGGTCCTAGAAAAACTAAGTTGATTACTCACATATCAGACTATGGATAAAGTGAACTGAATTTGAACACCCATGGTTTAAAAGGTGGATGAATTTTGATTTAATAGTCAACAGAAGAACAAGGACAGTCACACTGTCTCTAGCATGGTCACCATGTTACTAGTCAGTGAACTGTTGTAAATTAGTAGCATGCGTGATAAGATTGCAGGGAGGTAGTCAGCACCAAGGAAAGCCATCATCCTCACAACCACATTTGCCTTGGAGCCAACTCTGTGATGGATGTGTGCTCTAGTCCCTGAATAAATATCAATTAAATGAATGCAGTTTCTAACATTTCTGCCCTCCCAGTGGAGAAGCAGAGAGTGGAAGAGGGGGGTGTGGTGGAGAATCTATGCCCTCACTACAGGATATGCAGCTTTTGTGTAAGAGTGAAATTTATTTAGCATTCACTGTGTGCAAGGGAATTTGCTTAGGTAACATGTATTTTACAAGAACAGGGAAGGTCACATTGCAAAATTGGAGGGCTAGGTGGCAACAGAGAAGTCATCTTGTCCAACCTACTTGTTCTGTTTGAAGACTGGGAATTTTGGAGATTTATTGAAATGAGAAGATTTGCCCCAGATTATGGTTATCCAACTAAAAATGATAGTAGAGCTGGGGCTAGAATCTCTGTTTTCTGTTGCCTTTTCCATTACATTATAACCCCAACTTTGTTCCCTTTTAGGGGGAAGGGGGCAATTGTGTTGTACCCTGTGCAGGGCTGTTACTGAGGATGGGGCTATGGGTTGTTAATGAGAAGGTCATGAGTCAGAATAAAAGTATTACTTCCCATACTTAAACTGATCTAGGGATTTCCCAGAAATCTCTCCCAAAAAAGTAGAGATTGATGCAAGAACATTTTGAGCAAGGCTTGGCTATTTAAAATTTCATTGTCAGAGTGTTATTTGAGAGCCAAGAAATAATGTAGATGGCAAGTTTTGAAATCACAGTTTTCTTTGTGATGATAGTAATTTCTTTCCTTATTAAACTTTTATTTATTATCTTTGTAGGTTGGCAGCCTCGTTGGTTTGTTTTAGATAATGGAATCCTATCCTACTATGATTCACAGGATGATGTTTGCAAAGGAAGCAAAGGAAGTATAAAGATGGCAGTTTGTGAAATTAAAGGTAAGTGAATATATGGAATTAGAGGAATTTGAGGTTAAGTAGTAAAGGGTTCTTCAGCATACTCGAAACAATAGGAAAAAGAGCGCTCAGCCAGTGAGCGCTGTGAGCGCACCGGTCATCCCTATATAGGATCCGAACCCGCGGCGGGAGCGCTGCTGCGCTCCCAGCGCCACACTCTCCCGAGTGCGCCACGGGCTTGGTCCCCACGTAGGGATCTTCTAATACCATTTATTTCCTTAGCAATCAAGAGTGTAACTTAGCATTGTTAAACACAGTTTTTAATAATTCTCCCTTTATAAATTTATCTTGAATTGAAATTCAAAATATTTGTGCTAATCTTCCAATCTGGATGTGACAATTTCTTGTGGGTGCCACTTTAGTGTTCATGTTAAGTTTACAAGTGTTCTATTTCATTCTCATTGTAGAAAGGTATTGTAAAGGTTGGAAGCCAGGCTGTGAAGATGAGGGGGTCAGCTCTGTAGGGTTTTGATAAAATATGAAGTCAGAATCATAAACTTTGGTTCTTTTCTAAATTTGGAGATTAGGTCTTTTGGGTGATAGAGATGGCTTCCTTTGAGTGCGCCACGGGCTTGGTCCCCACGTAGGGATCTTCTAATACCATTTATTTCCTTAGCAATCAAGAGTGTAACTTAGCATTGTTAAACACAGTTTTTAATAATTCTCCCTTTATAAATTTATCTTGAATTGAAATTCAAAATATTTGTGCTAATCTTCCAATCTGGATGTGACAATTTCTTGTGGGTGCCACTTTAGTGTTCATGTTAAGTTTACAAGTGTTCTATTTCATTCTCATTGTAGAAAGGTATTGTAAAGGTTGGAAGCCAGGCTGTGAAGATGAGGGGGTCAGCTCTGTAGGGTTTTGATAAAATATGAAGTCAGAATCATAAACTTTGGTTCTTTTCTAAATTTGGAGATTAGGTCTTTTGGGTGATAGAGATGGCTTCCTTTTCTTCCGAAAGGAGAGAAATAAAGCAATAAGTCATGCTGTAATTTTTATGAAGGAAGGTGTCATGGACCGTTGATTCATTTGGGTGTGTGGTTGGGGTGTGTGGGGTAGAAGTAAGTGGAATGAAACCAGACAAAATGATAACGAAAAGTATTGAATTCTTCTTCAAAGAGAATTAAAGGAAAAACTGGAACACTAGAGGAGTGAATGTTAAACACCCTCCAGGCCGTCCTTATTTCTCCTCTGTAGCTTGAATACTATACTTGGCCTTCATAAAGAGTAGTTCTTTTAACGTGGTGAGCTCTTGGTCATAGCTACCAAATACTCTAGAGCCACCTTACTACTGTAAGAAGTATGCGTTTTCTTATTTAGTGTAATCCAAAGCAGCAGCTCATGTATTGTGCTACATTTTCCAGGGCTGGATTGTTAACTTTCATATGAATTTATGGCAGTTCTTACTAAGATTTAGCCATGGAGACAAAAGAGAGTTTCTGCTTTTGGTGCATATTCTTTATGTACATGTCTGGTTCCTCACCTTCATCTCAGATTTGCTACTACTAGGGCTCTTTCTATTACAGTGATTCTGGACTTGGGGTAGATCAGTGTCATCCAGGGGGATTTTTTCAAAATGCACACACCTTGTTGTAATGGAAGGGAGTCATGGCTATATAAGATAGAAACCCTTCAGCCTGGTGTATTGTTACTTGCATGTTCCCTGAAATGTATGGGGATGTAATTTTGTTATTTATCTTTAACAGACATACTGAAATGTGTACCCATAAATGCTGGCTTTCTGTGTGGTCATTTTTGGGGTCCATGTACTCCTTTCCAACTATACTATTATCACCCATAACATTTCAGAACTCCTCTTTTGGAGTTGCCTTATGAACCAATTTATAAATCACAAAAGAAAACACATTCAAAGCATTCATTTTTAGTTAGAAAAAAAAAAGTGATGGTTTTATCTCATCTTATTTCCAGATTTGATTCCAAATGAAATTTGGTCAGAAACCAAAACCACATTTAAAGTTCAAAAATTTGCCAGCCTTGAGGATATTTAAAAGATGGCTACAGAATTCTAAGCCAATTCCAAAACAGTTTCAAGCAACGGCAACATCTTTTTTGTTGTTGTTGTTGTTGTTGTTAGTTGTTTAAAGTAATCATTTTATTAAAGACTAGCATACTCTCAGAGAAGGGCACAAATCTTAAATAATGTTCAGCCTCAAGAATGTTTACAAAGTGAAAACACCCAGATCAAGAATTAGAATATTATCAGCATCTCAGAAGCCTCCCCCTTCAGGTCCCCTTAGCTACTAGTTCCTGTACAAGGTAACCATTAATCTGACTTTTTATCACCATAGATAATTACCCCGATATTTAATTGCTATGTTTAATTAGATTTCTCTCAGTAATGTTTTGTAGTTTTGTGTATAAAGGTCTTGTCCATCATTTTTCCCCTAGAGACTTGACGTTTTGGAAGCATCATTTTTAAGTTTGTTGCCTTCTCAGGTGACAACATTGGAGGGGGCTGCCCTTGATTCCTTGATTGGATATATAAATTCTGGTATGTTTAAAAATGAATCATCTTGGGTGGCCGGTTAGGTCAGTTGGTTAGAACTTGGTATTATAACACCAAGTTCAAGGGTTTGGATCCCTCTACTAGCCAGCCACCAAAAAAAAAAAAGTTGTCTTATTTTAGTTTCATCTTGTAGCAACATCATTAGAAATTAGAGCATTGCTTTCTTTTAAGGTAGGTATTGGTGCTTTCACTAGTATAAGCAATTAGCAGAAAAGAGTTACTCTTAGAGCTTTGGGATTTAAGTAGTTTGATCCTAGTCTAGAAATCTTTTCACCCTTCATTGATGATTGCATGGTTATATCTTTCAGTATCTATATCCAAGAATAGCCCACGTAAGTAGAATAATAAGATAGCAAAGCTTCTGTGGCATTTATTTGCCATAATACACTGAGCTTCTGGACAATACTTTCAGTAATTAATTATCTAAGTTAGGGCTTCTGCTGGACTTTCTGGGCCCCTCATAATTTGGCTCTTCCTGTCTTGTCCATTCATGAATATGAATATCACTTTGCAGTATGACAAAGTACTTAGGCTCCATTTAAGCTTGTTTCCTGATATCCTCAGTATGTTCTGTGTTTATTTCCTCATCTAGGCTTTTTCTCATGCAGTTTTTCTTCTAACCAAATCCTGCTGTCATCAAGTCCTTCTTTTTTATTTCCTATTTCTTCTTACCTTACTCTTGTAATTACATATAAAGTCTCTGCACCAAAGAGTTCAACATTTAAGTATTCTGATTACTTTTGGTGTGTCAGTTTGTTACTTGGTTAAATTGTCAGCTCTGTAAGAGCAAAGACTCCTTTTTTTCTCCCCCTCTATCTTCCTTCTAGCATTGCTGCTCTGAGCTGAGTAAATACTTGTTGATTAATGACAGTTACAATTAAGACTTGGGATTGGTTCAGCATAATTTTTTGATTAGCTCTCTTTTGTCAGACTATCAAGGCGTGTGTGTGTGGGAGAGAAGATGGAGGGAGGAGAAATGGTGAAGGTCTTTAAAATATACATGCCTTCCAGGTAATTATGATATGCCCTATGATCATGGGCATTCCATAGAACCACTGTTCCACTGGAAGGTGGCCAACGTTGTTATTTTTTGCCCTCCTATATGCCAGGCGCTATCGTAGGCTTGGGGGAATACCAAAACATAGACTCTGCTTTCCACAAAATTAGTAAAAACTGTGCCATTCATTGCACATGTATTTAAGATGGTATAGGTGGCCCCAAGGGAGGGTCTCATTTCTCAGTACTTATTTCTGTTTTCTCTTTCATATGCTGTCATCACTTTGACACCTTGTCGCCCAGAATCTATGTGAGAATGGTGGCTTGGAGTGCCACTGGGGTGGTCCCTTAGGGAATGTCACTGCCTGCACCGTTTTAGATGTATAAAGTGTCTAACGCTGTGTAAGAGTGATGATTTGACTCTCCCCAAATTACTTACGTCTATAACTATATTTCCCCTTTGTTAATAATCATAGTTCATTCAGCAGACAACACAAGAATGGAATTAATCATTCCAGGAGAGCAGCATTTCTACATGAAGGCAGTGAATGCAGCTGAAAGACAGAGGTGGCTGGTTGCTCTGGGGAGCTCCAAAGCATGTTTGACTGATACAAGGACTAAAAAAGAAAAAGGTAGCTATAAATTTTTCCCTTGTGATGAGAGTACTTTCTTAAACAAATGTAAATTGTCCTGTCCACTTTTAGTAATCTGTCCTAAGGAAATGTTGAAGAAAATTTACACATATAGATCTTGATCATAGTAAAAAAATTTGTAAACAATTCAGAAGTATAAATTTAGGGGGATGGGTAAGTAAGCTACTTCTTTCATCAGCTGATCTATTATGTAGCCAGTAAACTGTTTACAAGGAATTTTAATGATGTGAGAAAATGCCAAAGGTTAACCAATCATTGAAAAAAGCAGGATTCCAGATTACATACAGTTTAAACTGTATAGGTTAGTGTAGTTAGGCTGGCTTAGGAATGGTATGTAACAATTAGTCAAGTTGTTACCTTTGGAAGGGCAGTTTGTGGGAAGGAGACTCACTTTTCACTGTATACCCTTTGTACCTTTTAAATTTACTTTGTACATATACTGCCAAATCAGAAAGATTAGAACAAAATCAAAAGCAAATTTATGGTATTAGTTCAATTATACACAGATATAATGTAAAAATAATGACAGTATTTATATCTTGCTAGTGAGGTTGCAGTTTGATTTTTCTATTTTTTTCTTTTTGCCAAAAATATTCATTGAGTATGTATTTCTTTTATGATTAAAAAATAATATAAGTTAATTGAATTAGTGAAAGCAACTGAATTAAAGGAATTGAAAAACGGAGGCTGAGGAATAAATTTTCAAATATGTAAAAGAACATTATGAATAGAATATGACTAAGGGTAGCATAAGAAGAAATGGATGTTCACAGAAGCCTAAAGGCTGAAACATCCCAAATATCCATAGACACGTGAGTGAGTGGATAAACAAAATGTGGTATATACATACAATGGAATATTATTCAGCCTTAAAGAAGAAGGAAGTTCTGACACAGACTACAACGTGGATGAACCTTAAAGACATTATGCTAAATGAAGTAAGCCAGTCACGGAAGGACAAATACTGTATGATTCCACTTATATGAAATAGCCAGGATAATCATATTTATACAGACAAAAATTAGAATGGTGATTGCCGGGGATAGGGGGAGGAAGGAATGGAGTTAGTGTTTAATGGGTTCCAAGTTTCAGTTGGGGAAGATGAAAAAATTCTGGAGATGGATGTTGGTGATGGTTGTATACAACAATGTAAATGTACTTAATACCACTGAACTGTATACTTAAAAATGGTTAAAGTGATAAATTTTATCTTGTGTATATTTTACCATAATTTTTATTAAAAAGGAGGAATGGACTTAAGTTTGGGCAGAAATTGATTTGGGTTAGATCAAATGGGCAGATAGAGCAGCTTTGGTCTACTTTAGCAAAAGTGGCATTGTGGTTAGTACCAGAAAGCAGTGCCACTGGCCTGACTCAGGGAATACAAAGGAATACTATGAATATTTTTTCCCCATCTGCAGCTTATACGTCTAGTTTAAAAGGTATTGGGGGCCGGCCCGGTGGTGCACGGGAGAGTGCGCCATTTTTTCCCCATCTGCAGCTTATACGTCTAGTTTAAAAGGTATTGGGGGCCGGCCCGGTGGCGCACGGGAGAGTGCGCTGCTTGGGAGCGCGGCGGCCCTCCCACCGAGGGTTCGGATCCCATGTGGAGACCGGTTCCCGCTCACTGGCTGAGCGCGGTGCGGACGCAACACCGAGGGTTGCGATCCCGTTGCCGGTCCCCAGTACGGGCGCGACGCCGAGGGGTGCGATCCTGTTACCGGTCAGTAAAAAAGACAAAAAGGAGGAAAAAAAAAGGTATTGGCCTGTGAGTAGCTGAGATTAATGGCTGGATGTTTAGTTTGTCTGGAGATATTAAAGAGAAGAAAGTAAGCTCTTAATAAGAATTTTTTTAAAAAAATTTGAAAGCAGTATAATGTGAAAGGAACAGAAGAAAATAAATGAATGTTTATATGCAATAATTTTAATTACATAAAAATTAAAAACTTCTATATGCCAAAATATACAATAAAGAAAACTGATAGAGAGCTAACAGATCTGAAAAAGTATTTGCAGTATATAGGGTAGATGAAAGTTTACTGTTTTTAATGTATAAGAGCTTTTGCAAATTATCAGTTACAAAATATTTATGTATACATATTGTTTTTGTAAGCTGGCCGGTACAAGGAACAAATGAGTTTATATATTATTAAGAGAAAAACCAAACTTCAGAGCTGGAAATGATGTATGAGGGGTCTTCAAAAAATTAGTAGAAGGATTTGTGTTACTTTTAATTCTACTTTTCTTTTTTTTTTTTTCCTTTTTGTCTTTTTTCGTGTCCGGCAACGGATCGC